CTACTAGGGGCTCCTGGCCTTACTACTAGGAGCAAGGACGCTACTAGGAGCTTCATTTTGTTTTTCCGGCGCGTGTTCGACACAATTGCGTTCGCGGTCATCTCGGCGATGGGGTCATCGCATTGGTGACCAGAAGGAGTCAGCAAAAGCTTTGCCAAGTTGTTTTGAGGGGCAATTTTGAAGAAGCCTCACACATCCTCACACAATCTCACACACATCGTTTGGTCCGGGTTGCTGCCTGGTAAATGCTTCATTTCAAAGGTCAGATGTCCTTCCGCGGGCCACACCGAGGTCTGTGACCATGCCGTTTCCATATGCTTGGGCTGGGGACTCAGCTCACTCGGTCAGCGACGAATTGAATTCAGATTTCCTAGAGGTTGATTCCATGATATAGAGCTGACATGAGCTCACAAAGTTCTTTGTTGAAGCAACATTGTTGTGCAATACTCGCGCCAGCAATACCCTTGAAACTTGGGCTCTGAACAGCTTTGTCCTTATATCACACATTTGTATTATAATGTATTATAATTGTATTACATTACATATACTGTTATATGTTATTATATTAAAATATGTATAAAGTATACAATATATTATATGTTATTGCAATATGTAGAAACTATAGATATCAATATATCATATATCATATATATTCATATATCATATATATATAATCATCTCTAGAATCCATCGGTCTGTAACTGTTCAAAACTTTGAAGATCTTGAAGCTTTGAAGATATGTTGTTTGTTCCTTTCTACTAGTAACAATAAAGCTACGTTCGGGGGCTCCTGGCCTTACTACGAACGGAGCGATCGGACGCGACGAGTAAGGGGCTCCTGGCATCGCGACGAACGGAGCATTCTTACTACTTGACAGCCAAGTCGGCACCCCTTCCGTCGCCGAGGTTAAGCTGAACCAGTCCGGCGATGCCGAACGAACGGTCACGCCCCGTGCGGGCCACACGTTGACGCCCATCCGGAACGCCTATGTGGAGGGCTTTTTCTTGTGGCTCGGTGAGAAAAAGATGGTGGGTGGCTTTTTCCATGTTTTTCAGAAAGCTCTTGGATAGAACCTTCCTGAGCCTGAAGAATTATTCTTGGGCTTTTTCGGCAGCTGAGCCTCTATCTACTTCAATCTATATTTCGCATGAGATTATTCGATACACATTTTTGATTCCCTTAAACAATCATCATTATGGAAATTTTGGTGCTCGGATGGTTGAGCAAGTTTTCAGGCACTATTCTGCCTGGGCCAGATACAACAGCCAATAGTAATATGATGGAAGTTGGCAATCCTGTAAGCTTTCACGGGTGATGTCAGACAACGTAGAATTTCTTCTTGATGGAGGTGTTTTGATGCTGATTTTGCGGAGTGTTTTGGCCTTTGCTGTGTTCTTTCCCTCAGGATCACAAGCCAGAAAAGTGCGCTAAGCGCTAACTGTGGTTTTGGAAGACGCAGGGTGGTTGCGACATGTTGACATGTGTCATCAGAACGGGTGTTGTGTACATGTGAACCTCGTTATTTTTTTTTGTGTGTGTGTGTGCGGGAGTCGGGAATCCTTTGGCTCTTGCGTTCAGCAATCAACCGCGGAGATGGGTGCTGATGAGATGAGACAGACAACCTCATGTTCGTCTCGTCAACTTGACCAAGGAGTTCGAGTCTTGAAAGTAAGTCCACAAAGTATCACCACACCTCTTCCTTGTGACACATGGAGGCCCACATCATGCCACGCCACTTACAGAAGACCTCATCCAAGAGATGAACGAGATTGGATGAAGGTACTGAACACCAGGTTTAGATATTAACACAGAAATGGAAATGGATGGCATCACGGACTCACGGTAAGTTGCTTGGTTTGCTGCATGTTGCTGCTTCATGGTCAATCCTGCTTGTGAATGCCAGCTCTCACTTCTTGCAGTGCCGAATTGACCTGCAGTCCACGTGGCTCTTGAACCATTGCTGCGGCCCTTTTTGCATTGCAAGAAACATCAAGAAACCTAAACCCTGCCTTCATCTAGTAGTTTCTTGTTACTAGTAGCAATGGCCTCCACATAATAGCCATGGCCTCCACCTAGTAGCTTCTTGTTTCCATCTTTTTTAAATGGATTCTTATAGTAGGTAGAACGGTAGAACCTAAAGCGCTGCGTTCACTCCCAAGTCGTGAACAGTTCCTCCCACCCTGAGGTTTGGTGGTATGGATGGAAGAAGGACCGGCTCCGCACGATCGAAGTGCACGGTATCATGGGGATCGGACGGGGATCGGATGGGGCACCGGGGCACTTCCGGGGCTCTGGCATCGATCAGTGGAGCACTTCTGGTCAAGCACTCGATGAGGAGGTTCATTTTGCCGATGGTGTTTCTCAATCTTTCAACTGAAGAGGCTTGGCTTCAGATTTTGCTGCAACGCTTGCTTCTCAAAGAGAAGTGGACGCAACGAACCAACAGTTGGGGAAGCAATCTTTGCAATCTGCTAAGCGCAGCCTTCAGAAGGAAAGGTCCTTAAAGTCTCTCAACGTTTCTCAACTCTTTCAGTTCTCCCATTCACCCCGGCCTTGCTGGTGGCAGTGTCCCCTGAAGGCTTCATCGGCTTCACCTATATTGGAAGGTCACGAATATTTCGAGCCACGTGATTCACGTCGTCCCGGTGCCAGGAACGACCAAGGAAACCCAGCGCCCAACAGCGATTTGTTCGTCTTGAAGCTTGGGGCTCGGGGCGAATGTGGCCGGGCGAAATTCTGGGAGCAGATCTGGGGTGGAGGAGGTTGGAGGCCATCGCTCTTAGGTTGGAGGCCGGTCGGAGGACATCGACGACAAAACGAGCAAATGGTGAATCCGACTCCTCAAGCTAAGGTGGATGGATGGATTTGGAGTGGAGTGGAGTGGTTGGAGATGAATCCAACTCCCCGAAGTTCATGCTTTGGTGGAGTGAAAAACCCTCTCTTTGAGGTAGAGACAAGTCGTCTTCCCAGCGGCCATGCCATCCACTTCCTTGCAATGTGGGTCGAAGTATCATTTATATAAAGACACCACATATAGATCATAAATATACTAAATTCAGCCAATACATGGGAGATGTGATTTGGACGTCATTTGATGATCCTGCAATACTGAGTGCTGCATGGGCCTCCCTTTGGATTTCGAGCAATTCATGGGAAAACTCGTGGAGTTTTCTCGGTGCGATGCCCACAACCTGTTGTAGTCAAATTGAGTGATTTAAGACTTCAACCATCGTGAAAAGGGAGCAGTTTTGCCACCGGCTGTCGGTGGGGAGGGCTTTGTTGGTCTCAACTCCTTTTTCTTTAAGTCCAAAAGGGCAGTCCTTCTGACTGGGCTTTGGTTCACTTCCTGCACCAAAAAAACACGGCCTTTTTGTGTCGTCCTTCTGAGTGAGCGCCGAGCTTTGCTCGTCTCGCCGAGCCCGTCGTCGGTGAGTGGAAGAGATGGGATGAGCTCGAGACGAGCCGGTCCGAAGACGTCAGGTAAGTGGTCTCCCATTGAGCTGGATGCAGCATCTCAAGTTCCCCCAGCGAGCGCCTTCGGTCGATCCGGGAAGACGGCGAAGACCAGCGAAGCGCACCACGCAGAGCGCGGGTGGTTGCGAGGTTCGGTGGTGTGGTGCGGTGGTCGCGTGTGGTGGTCGGGTTACCCATCAGTCCCTTTGAGCTGGTTTAGGTTCAGAGGAATTGATAGACAGATGATGAAAGATGGAAAGGGGAGAGGCTAGACAAGAAGAAGGGGTCTGTGTATTCGATGCCATTAACATGTAAATCAAAGCAAGTTGTCATTCTGTACGTTCTCAAACTCTTCAACCATTCAACCACGAGACATATCGTTGGAATATGTCGGAATATCGGAATTGGGCTCCTGACTCGATGAATCCATCGAAACGGCCCAAGGAACGTTGCATTCCGCACTGGCGACCAGCGCTGATGAGATCTTCATTTGGGGAGGCATTCACTCAGCGATGCCCTTCCAGACGTTGCAGGCCGTTGTCAGCCGTGGGTTTTCACTGACAACTGGGAGTGGATTGATTTACTCCCAATTAGCATTTCACAGTGATACGAAAAGCCGTGTAATTAAAAACACTGCATCTCACACCGCGTTGCATCTCCCAGGATCATTCTTTGCCGCCTTCCCATATTTTGTTCAAAAATGTTCAAACTATTCACCCAATGGATGGTTTGGCCCAAAAATAGTTTTGCTTTTTTTGAATATCCATCTTCTGCGCCCCTTGGCCACGTTGATCCTGGATGTGGAAACTGGCCACTCAGGATGGATGGATCCTGGACACGTCTTGCATGGCAGCATGGCGAGGGCAGAACATGTCTTGGGATGGCTAGACTTGTCTCCGATGTTCCAAAGCAAGGGTGTTCAGTGACATTTGAGAAGACGCAAAGGAAAATAGGAGAATAACAGAAGCAGAATAGCAATCATTGTGACCCTTTAAGATCGTTGAGTTTATTCAAGCAAGTGGTCGAGAATGGTTAAACTTCATTCGACTGCGATGTCATTCTTCTTCGCGACCTCGAAGCAATCTCCGCGGTTTCAACCGGCTGAAGTTAGGCCAAAATCTCTCCAGGGTGGCATTTTCTTTTTATAGTTTTGTCTTCGGTTGTAGACCTTGACCCTCCCCCGGAAATCACTGAATGCAAGAAGACTTCACTGCCACGCCGGATTGCGCCGGTGGCCTCCGGATCCACTCCTCCACTCGACTCCCCCTTCGGTCCAGGATCCGGTCGAGTGCATCGCCTCACGCCACGTTCGCACACGTTCGTCGCTGGCCTCTCCGCTGTGGGTCGAGGAATGGAAGAAGGTGCATTTCAAGGCGGCGCCCACGGGGAATCGTGGCTCCGCCTCGCGGAGAATGTCGGGACTCATCCAGGCGTCGCTTCGGTCGTCGCGTGGAGGGCGAATTTGTCGGGATCTAGGAGGGTGAAGACGTGGTTGGAGGAGTGTGCAAACCACATGATGTCAAGGGATGTCAAGGGTGTTTTTTCGTGCTGGAAACTATGCAGATCGATGTGTGTGTGTGTGTTTTTTGCGCAAACCAAAGGTTGACTGGCTGTTCACTTGTGGCTCTTTGGTGGGTCACCAAAGGGCAGACCCTATTGAGGCGACGAAACCAACTATAAGGGAAATCAAGAGATATCAAAAGACACATGTCAATTTAGTACCACCAAACCTTGGGGCTTTTGGTATAGACCATTCAGACCTGAAGTTGACATAGAGAGCTTTGGAGTCCTTGTCGTTCAAGCTAGACTTGAATGACTCAACAAACTTGGCTTGCGAAGGCCCCAAGGAGGTGGCCTTAGATTATGACCATTACATGACTTGTTCCACACGACCTTACATCTTTCGGCCTTAAAGCAGGGCGATGCCCGGTTGACGGCTCCGCCGATGTTTTCAGCAGTTCTGCGGGGGGGTCTGAGCCCCTCAGACCCCGTGTGCATGAGCCTGCTTTGGCCTTGTGCCTCCGAATGAGGTTCCGTAAAGGCCAATTGGAAGGGTCCATTCCGCACAAGATCATCAATGAGCATGTCAATATTACACAATGATCATCCACACATCAATGGGTATTCCACACATTCCCAGCACAGCATCAATGGGTATTACGGTATTCTAATTATTCCACACATCAATGATCATCAATTGACCTTTGTTGGGATCATTCCCAGTGAGTACTGAATGCGTCGCTGCAGTGGACTGTTTGGGCACATGGTACCACTAGGCTGTGTCCCATTAGCAGTCGGTAAAGGATTATCACGATTTTTGAGGTTGGCCTGCAACCAGGCCCCATCATCCACTGGGGTCCACCGGGTCCATATCCAAAGCACATCAAAGTACCACCCAGATCATGTTTCACATGCCCGGCCCCTACCGCGAACCGTGGTCAGGACCGATCGGCCGACGAGACCGGGCGCAAGAAGAGCCTTCGGCGTGAGACCGGCGAACGGGTCGTCGCCTTTCTTCGGCGAAGGGATTGGACTTCGAGGGGAGTTCGGCCCAGCCGATGGGGGTTTCCTTGACATGAGTTACATTGAACTACCAGATGTCCCAGATTTCCCAGGCATTTTTTCGTGGCGTTGTCCCGTCAGGGACAAAACAACATAAGCCTTGTAAATTTGCTCAAAGGATCGGTGTGAACGATGCTTTTGCTGGAGCGTTTTGGCTTTGCTTTGTGAATGCGATCGTTTTAGCCGAGGCTTTGGGCGGGCTTGGGGTATTCAACAAAAAGTCGGCTTGGGGTTCAGTCCAGATTCAACGCTCTGAGTCCAGATTCAACGCTCTCTATACATGTTTTTACATAGCATTTCGTACTCCGAGTGGTCCCGGTGAAATGCTTGCCGCTGAGCGAATGGATATGGATATGGATCGATCCTGATATTTGCCATGTCACCAATTGCTGACCAGGTTGGACATTGCAGACATTTAGGGCCTTTGGGACCTTGACATATTCACTCCAAAAGTTTTGTTTAAAAGGCATTCTGGCAGATCTGTGTGTGAGAGAGTTGTGAAGTTAGGTATCTTGTGGCCAAAGAGGCCTAGCGTGCCAAAGCAGTCGGCATTCAAAGCTGAAATCCCACGTTTGGAGAACAGAAAGAAGCTGGAGATGTCAGCTTCTAGATCCTCTCAGGATCTCTATCCTTCCACCCTTGCTTTTTGGGATTTGGAGGGATTTTCAGGCTTCTTCGAGTCTCTGAGCGCCCCGCTTGGGTTCCACGTCGGGTTCCCTGCTGCGCTATGACATGAGGAGCTCCTCCTTGAGTTTACGGGGCTCCAAAGCACGTGCTTCTATGAGCGACAGGCAGTCGGCCTGGTGGGTCTCGTCGAGGGCGCGGGCTCGGGCTCGGGCTGCCGCGGGTGGCGCGGGGGGGGATGCTGCAGGATGAGACCGGCAGTGGCCGCGTTTGGGGGACAAGGTTTGAATGGATGGGACCGGGTGATGAGACCGATGTAGAGGTAATATATATTATATTTATAATATATAACATATAGCTTCCTTAGTGATGTTTTTGTTAGGAACCCCTATTTTTCCGGAAATGTTTTTCAGGTTTATTTTTTTTCCGGGAATTTGTTTCGCGTTTGTTTCCCTACTGCTTTTGCTTTTTGTTTTTGTTTTTGCTTCTGCTTTTTGCTTCTGCTTTTTGCTTTTGGCCTTTGCTTCTGCATTTGCTTTTGCTTTTTGCTTTTGCTTTTGCTTTTCCTTCTGCTTTTGCTTTTGCCTTTTGCTTCTGCCTTTGCTTTTGCTTCTGCTGACTATCTTCTTTGCATTGACACTGCCACAAAGTTGGATGATAAGACCTTCACCTTGAGCTTTGACACCCAATTACACCAATCAAGAAACGAAGCAGCCCAGCGCTATCTATATTTGATTTGCATTGCGGGGGAGGCGGGCGCTGCGCCCTCCCCCGCCCCCCCCC